TGAAGAAATCAATGCCTCCGCACCTGAAGGACAAAATATGAAGAATTTGATGAAGGCGACCACAGAAATTCTAGATCTTGATATTGAGGACCTTTTACTGTCACTGGGCCCTACAGAAGAGAGAGCTGCATTGCTGAAAATTATCAACGATCTAAGGATTGCTCCAAAATCAGTAAATGCTACTGATAGTTCTCGTTCTGACGCTGAGAAGGATTCCGATGAAATTTCAATAAACCGCACAACCGTTCCTTTTTTGGAAAGTAGAAACTATTCCACAATCCTTGCAGAAACAATCCACTCTACAACTTCTGCTGCTTTAGCATCCTTCAAAACAACAGAAGAGGGAAGTATTCAGAATACAACTGCTTCTTCTACATCTGGAGAAACAACTAAAACCTCGTTTACAGCAGTTCCCCGTAGTACTGTAAGCCTTTTAACTTCTTCTCTTCTTACAACAGATTCAAGCGTGAAAGAAGCACTTGTGGGTTTACCGCTACCCTTACGCTTAGTGGACGAGTCAAGATCAAAGCAAAAGAAGACAAGTAAATCTCAAGGAAATGGCCTATCAATCAAGAAATCTTCCTCTTTGGAGAACAAGTTAGCGCCCATTGACGAGAATGAGGAAAGCGAAGAATTTGAAATTCTCGTCCCCTTCAATGATAAATCTAAAGGGAAGCTGAGACCAAGTTTATCGCCGATAGATATTGAAGCTGCTCGAAAGCTGCATAGTGGAAACGTTTTGCCGCCTGATTCTACTATCAACATTCCAAAAATATCTAATAGCGAGAAAAGAGGAGCAAATAGACAACCCCTTGCAGAAAGACCATCTTTTAGCACTTTGAACACACTAAAGAGCAATCTGAACAATGAACTTCTCAAAAGCAATAAGAAAAAGAAGAACTCTATTGGAAAATCTAGGAGGAGAGTAATCTTCAAACCATCAGTTCGATGGAGGTCATCAGCGCGAAGTGGTCCCAAATTGATGACAGAACATGTGAAGGCTAGTATTAAGGTAAGTGAGAATAAGAAGAAATTCTCTAGAAAACAGCCGCAAATCAAAATCCCAAGGAAAAAAGGACCAAACAGATTCCCGGGGACCTCAAAGAGAAAATTTAGAGCAAAAAAGGCAGATTTCATTCTTAGAAGAGATTCCCTTATGATTCCTGTCAAAATGTCTGCGACAACAACTGCACCGCGACAAACTGCCCCGGTGAATGCTTTGCGGCAGGGTAATCATACCCCAAGTACGCCAAAAACGGTGTTAACACCTTCGACAGAACCGAACAAACGAAACGCATTGGAAGGTGTAAAAATAGCCCGTGTAGGGCGACAAGTGCAGCGCAGATCAAGTCCAACCCCCGCAGAGAAACCATCTTTAATGGTGAAAAATGGTGTGGTGCAACGAGTTACGGCGCAGGACACTCCGGAACATATCCCAAATTTTGACGATCACCCGGCTCCATTGCTAGAGAACAGCCAGTTATCCGAAAGAGTACTGACGCTACTAAAGTTATTGACTTCATCGCTGGACCCTAAAAGAAAAGAACAATCAGCGCAAGGAAATGAGATTGCAAAGCACGGATTGCAAA